CATTCGAATGCACCATCGGACCCCGTTCGTGCAAATAGCACTGTGCAACATGGCGTTCGAATTGTCGAACGCACTTCGACTTTAGCCGAAGCGTTGAAGTGGAGGAGAAGGTCAGGGTCAGCGGTGTTCGTGCAAATGTGTAGCCGATTTTAGTTCCATGGATTCAGGGGCACACACCGCTGACCGTGTTTGACTAAATTAAAATGGCCGCCGCCACATGTTCGTTTGTCGAATGGCGGCCACTTCAACTACTTCTGCACTTCGGCTGCATCCGGAGTGCCATATAAAAAGTACCAATCCTTCCCTACAGTTCTTAAAGGGCCAGAAGTAGTGAAATAAAATCTGATATGGCCAAATAATGTTTTTAACGGGCAAAATCTCCCCGTGGCCATAGTCATGATGAAGGAGGCTGGCAATCAGGTTCCTCCAACAGCCGGGGGCAAAGGGCAGCTTGTCACCTAAAACTCCAGTGACAAAAGGCATTTCGTCACAAAACACATCCTTTAATGTCTAAACAAGTGGTTCCCAAACTTTTTAGATTCAAAGCGCCCTTAATATTTCAATATTTTTCCAAGGCACTCCAAGTCAAAAAATGTTCTAGGTTGTATATATGTACAGTGCTGCGGCATATACTGGGCCCCTCTTTGGCAAAAATGCTTGCCGTTAAGGTGCAGATAGAGAACCTAATCTTGGGAGTGGCACTGGTTAATTTTTAAAGAAACAATCCAGGGACAATAACCCCTACATTACATTGTAGTGGTTATGGTACCAGTAGTGCTGTTGTGCCCTCCCAGGGTAAGTATTACTTAGTTACATAGTTACATAGCTGAAAAGAGACTTGCGTCCAACAAGTTCAGCATACTCAACATTTGTTTCTTTGCTGTTGATCTAAAAGAAGGCAAAAAAATAAAAACAGTTTGAAGTACTTCCAATTTTGCAACAAACTAGGAAAAAATGCCGTCTTGACCCCAGAATGGCAGTCAGATTAATCCTTGGATCGAGAAGCTATTACCCTACATTGAAAAATTATATCCTTGCATATTCTGTTTTTGCAAGTATGCATCTAGTTGCTGTTTGAACATCTGTATGGACTCTGATAAAACCACTTCTTCAGGCAGAGAATTCCACATTCTTATTGTTCTAACAGTAAAAAAAAACTTTTCCTTGCCTTAGACGAAATCTTCTTTCTTCCAGTCTAAACGCATGACCTCGTGTCCTATGTAAAGTCCGGTTTGTGAATAGATTTCCACACAATGGTTTTATTGGCCCCGGATATATTTGTATAATGTTATCATATCGCCTCTGAGGCAACGTTTTTCGAAACTAAAGAGGTTTAAATTTGTTAACCTTTCTTCAGAGCTGATAGGTTCCATTCCTTTTATTAATTTTGTATCCTGCTCCTGCACTTTTTCTAGTGCCTTCTTTAGAACAGGTGCCCAAAATTGCACAGCATATTCAAGATGTGGTCTAACCGGTGATTTATAAAGAGGCAAAATCCTATTCTCACCCGGAGAATTAGCCACTGCTGGTTGACATTGCACATTGTTGCATAGTTTCTTGTCTATAACAATTCTCAAGTTCTTTTTGTGTGTTATCTCTAATTCGCTTTCATTAAGGGTATACGTTGCTGCTTATGCATTCTTTACACCGAAGTGCATAACTTTGCATTTTTCTACATTAAATTTCATCTGCCATCTAAATCTCTCTGCAGCAAAGTAATATCTTGCTCACATTGAATTACAAACACGGAAACATAACTTTCAATGCTTTTTTTTTTCTTTTTCAAGATCATTTATAAACATGTTTAAATAGAAGGGGTGGGGGGCACTACTTGCCACCTCTGTCCAGCTTGAAAATTTACCATTAATGACAACTCTTTGTACTCTAGTTTTAAGCCAATGTTCTACTCAAGATTAAGAATTTTTTATCTAGACCGATTTCTTTGAGTTTGAACACTAATCTATTGTGTGGAAACGTATCAAATGCCTTGGCAAAATCTAAATAGATCACATCCACTGCAACACCCTGATCTGTACTTCTACTTACTATTCCATAGAATGCAATCAAGTTAGTTTGACATGACCTGTGCTTCATAAAACCATGCTGGTTTTTGCTGATAACCATGTTCTTCTCAAGGAATTCTTGAATATTATTCCTTAATAACCTTTCAAATACTTTTCCAGCCACAGAAGTTAAGGTCACAGGTCTATAATTTCCAGGAAAGGATTTTGAACCCTTTTTAATATAGGAACCACATCTGCCTTCCTCCAATCCTCTGGAACACCTCCTTAAATAAAAAAATCTTCAAAGATTAAAAACAGAGGTTCACTTATTTCTACACTTAGTTCCTTAAGTACTCGTGGATGAATACCTTCAGGCCCTGGAGCTTTGTTTATATTAACTTTCTTTAGTTGCTGTAGCACCTTGTCTTGAGTTAACCAATTAAAATTTTCTGGAGTTTTTAGCAGCAATCATTTGCACATCTATTGCTATGTGTTCTTCCTTAATATACACGGAGGAGAAATAGTTATTTAAAGTTTCTGCCTTTTCCTGGCCTTCATTAACTAACACCCCCATCCCAGTTTTTAGTGTATCTACACTTTTATTTTTGTTTTTTTAGAATGTATGTACTTAAAACATTTATTGTGGTTGGCATTGCTCTCTTTGGCTATCATTATTTCATTTTGAAGTTTAGCAAATCTAATCGCAGTTTTACACACATTATTGAGTCCCTTATATCTTTTATAGGATGTATCTGATTTGTCCGATTTAAATGCCCTTTTGTTATTTTTAATCTTTTGTTTTACTGCTCTACTAAGCTACATTGGTTTTGTTTGTTTCTTTTATATTTATTACCCAATGGTACATACTGAGAAATGTACCTTTCTAATATATGTTGGAAGATGTTCCATATATCCTCAGTGTTCTTTTCACTAAAGAGTCTATGCCAGTCAATATATTGTAAAGCTGCCCTTAACTTATAGAAATTGGCCTTTTAAAAATGATATGTTTTAGTATACCCCATATGCTTTTGTTTTTAACATAGTCAAACTGTTTAAGAACAGTTTGACAATTTACTGGGATCTGTCGTGATAGGAGCTCTAGTGTGTGTGTATAGGGGGGGAGGTGCAATATGTGTGTGTGAGTGGTGGAGTGTGTGAGGGGTTCAGTATGGGGGGGCAGTGTGTATGGGGTGAGCAATGTGTGTGTATGGGCGGGCAGTGTGTGTATAGGGGGCAATGTATGTGTGTGTGTATGGAGGGAGTTATTGTGTGGTGTGGGGTCTGTGGAGGTAGGAAAAAAAATATTTTTTAAAAATAAAAATGATATCCCCCCTCCCTGCTTACCTTTGCCTCAGGAACTGCAAGAATTCACTCTCGTGAGATTTAGAGCATTGCCATGGTAACCGCGTCAACGCTCTGAGCTCGCGAGAGGAGAACCCGAAGGAGCTGCATGTTAGAGCTCCCCCGGGTCCTCTCTCCCTCCCGCCCCTTCCAGCTGTCGGCAAAGTACTAGCATGCCAGAGAGGAAGATCTCTGATCTCCCGTCCGGTCCTGCAGAGCCGGCCGGGGAGAGCACAGTTCCCAGTGCTATGATTATAGCACCGGGAAAATATTTTGCAGCGCTGGTTTGGGAACCGCTGGTATAAACCGTTGGCAACAAAAGTGGAAATGTCCAAATTGGGCCCAAAGTGTCAATATTTTGTGTGGCCACCATTATTTTCCAGCACTGCCTTAATGCCTTTTCAACTCCTCCATGATGACATCACGGAGCTGGTGGATGTTAGAGACCTTGCGCTGCCCCACCTTCCATTTCATGATGCCCCACAGATGGTCAATAGGCTTTAGGTCTAGAGACATGCTTGGCCAGTACATCACCATTACCTTCACCTTATTTAGCAAGGCAGTGGTCGTCTTGGAGGTGTGTTTGAGGTCGTTATTATGTTTGAATACTGCCCTGCAGCCCAGTCTCCGAAGGGAGGGGATCATGCTCTGCTTCAGTATGTCACAGTACATGTTGGCATTCATGGTTTCCTCAATGAGCTGTAGCTCCCCAGTGCCAGCAGCACTCATGCAGGCCTACCCTTCAACCTCTGCAGCAATGCTGGTAGCACTCATACATCTATTTCCCAAAGATAATCTCTGGATATTCTTTGGTCAACTTCTTTGGTCGACCATGGCAAGGCCTATTCTGAGTGGAACCTGTCCTGTGAAAGCGCTGTATGGTCTTGCCCACTGTGCTGCAGCTCAGTTTCTTGGCAATCTTCTTATAGCCTGGGCCATCTTTATGTAGAGCAACAAGAGCTCTCCGCCCAGCGCTGGAAAAAGGTAAGTTTTTACCCCTTTCCCCCTTCCAGAGCCGGGCGGGAGGGGGACCCTGAGGGTGGGGGCACCCTCAGGGCACTATAGTGCCAGGAAAACGAGTATGTTTTCCTGGCACTATAGTGTCCTTTAATGAGTCACATGACACTGGGGAAAATGACCAATTGGGCCCAAATTAGGGTACACTCACTTTTTTTTTTTTTTTTTTTTATAATTCTTTTTTTGTAGTGCAGGGAAATACACACTGTTGTATAAATGACATGTCGTATGGAAACAGCACAATTAGTCTTAAAAAGGTTTACATAATGTCACATAATCTGCACTTTTGTATTGATATGCATACATGCCTAGAGGGCCTGCCTGAACGTAACACAGGTTATATGATTCAAGAGACAGAGGAAAAGAAAACCTCAGGCAGGCTCATGGCTCATAGATTACCATTAAGCATTAGGTTAGTTATGATAAACAACTAGTAGTTACATATTTTGCCCCGGAGACCCCATCGGCTATGTGATGAGCAGAGTAATAAGCAGAGCGCCTTGGGTTAGTTAAGAATTAATTAATTAGGGAAGGCAAGTATTAATAAGAGAAAGCAAATATCGATTGGAGAGGGCCCAAAGTAATACTCAAAGTGATGTTAGATGATACAGCATGGTGGTAGCAGATATCCCTGCCATCTCAGGAGCTTGCATCAGGTATCCCCTTCCAGCTGTAAGCTGCATTGACTATGGATTCTGGCTGCAGTATGTAGAGTCGTTGCCCCCCTGTGGTCAGGCTGTCTTCAGGCACTGTGGCCCTGTTGCAGAGGCGTAGCAGGCTGGGATCCCTCTTTGAAGTGTGTGGTCCCTGGGTGGCCGCACTTGTGTGTGGTCCCTGGGTGGCCGTTCGTGTGGTTTTATGTGCAGGCGGCTTCCCTTGGAGCTGCCGCGCATGCGTGTGAGTATTGTAGTTGTGCACATGTGCGGCTGCTTTGTGGGGAGCCATTTATTTGTTTTGGCACATGAACTGGGAGCTTTTCTTTCTCACCCATAGCCCGTTCGGGCTCATCTGTTCGTGCATTTGGATGAACGAACGGATATCTGAATTGGCACTCTATGGTATCTGTAGAAGGGGCGGGACTTCTGCGTTCCAGGCACCACTCTTGTGTGTCAGCTTACCAGAAGTTGTCTTTTTGCGCTTTTACTAGCGTGGACATTGTGCAATATTCTCATTTATCCTTGCTTTATGTATTATTGTTTTATTTCTATTCTAGTTTATTTTTATTTTCCTTTTTGTGGTCTCTCCTCCCTTTTTGGCACATAGGGGTAAGTTATGGATTACTTAACTTGGTGGATGTATATATTATGCATGATTTATACTGTTTTGTATTTATCAATTTGTGTTAATGATTTGCACTTAAGTGAATTATTGTTTCATTTTTTTAATTTAATTTTTAAATTTAAACTAGAAAATTAGAAATTGATAGCCAAAGAATGCAAAACCAATCCCAATTTTTTTTTCAAGTCCATGCATTCTAAAAAAAATAAAAAATGAAAGTGTAGGTACACTGGAAACAGAGATGGGTCTGTTAGCTAATGAATACCAGGAAAAGGCAGACATTTTAACTATTTTTCTTCAGTATATATTAATGAGGATCCCATGGCAAGAGATATGCAAATGATTGCTCCAAAAAACTTTGATATCTCGAAACAAGGTGCTACAGCTGTTAAAGAAAATTAATGTTAATAAAGCACCGGGGCCACAAGTACTTAAGGAGCTAAATGGGGAAATAAGTGAACCTCTGTATTTAATTTTTAAGATTCTTTTGTTTCAGGTATTGTACCGGAGGATTGGAGGAAGGCAGATGTCGTTCCTATATTTAAAAAGGGTTCAAAATCCTTGCCTGGAAATTATAGACCTGTGAGCTCAACTTCTGTGACTGGAAAAATATTTGAAGGGCTATTAAGGCATAATCTTCGGGAATTCATTGTGAAGAACTTTGTTATTAGCAATAATCAGCATGGTTTTATGAAACATAGGTCATGTCAAACTAACCTAATTGCATTCTACAAAGAAGTACGTAGAAGTATAGATCAGGGTGTTGCAGTGGATGTGATCTATTTGGATTTTGCCAATGCATTTGATATGGTTCCTCACAATAGGTTAGTCTTCAAACTAAAATAAATTGGTCTAGATGATTATTCTTGTTCTTGGGTAGAACATTGGCTTAAGAATAGAGTACAACGAGTTGTCATTAATGGTAAATTTTCAGGCTGGACAAAGTGGTAAGTGGTGTCCCTCAGGGTTCTGTTTTGGGATTGCTTCTATTGAACATATTTATAAATGATCTTGAAATAGGCATTGAAAGACATGTTTCAGTGTTTGCAGATGACACAAAGCTTTGCCGCAGAGGGATTTGGATAGATTGGGGCACTGGGCACTAAAATGGCAGATGAAATTTAACATAGAGAAATGCAAAGTTATGCACTTCCAGGTCAAGAATGCACAAGCAATTTAGACCCTAAATGGTAGTGAACTAGGGATAACCACACACGAGAAGGATTTGGGAATTGGTTTAGATAACAAATTAGGCAACAATGTGCAATGTCAATCTGCAGTTGCTAAGGCCAGTAAGATTTTGTCATGTATAAATAGGGACATAAATTCTCGGGATGAAAATAATAAAATTTTGCCTCTTTATAAATCGCTGGTAAGACCACACCTTGAATATGCTATGCATTTTTGGGCACCTGTTCTAAAAAAGGATATCATGGCACTAGAAAAAGTGCAGAGACAAGCTACAAAATTGATAAAAGAAATGCGGCATTTTAGTTACGAAGAAAGGTTAAAAAATTTAAATCTCTTTAGGTTTGAGAAACGGCGTCTCAGAGGGGATATGATAACATTATACAAATATATTCGGGGCCAGTACAAACCATTATCTGGAAATCTATTCATAAACCGGGCTGAACATAGAACACAAAGTCACACATTTAGGTTGGAAGAAAGGAGATTTAATCTAAAAGGTTTTTTTTTACAGTAAGAGCAATAAGGATATGGAATTCTCTGCCTGAAGAGGTAGTTTTATCAGAGTCCATACAGATGTTTAAACTGTAATTGGATAAATACTTGCAAAATAATAACATACAGGGATATCATTTCTAATTAGTGGGGTAATAGCTGCTTGATCCAAGGAGATATCTGACTGCTGTTTTGGGATTAAGAAGAATTTTTTTCCTAGTTTCTTGCAAAATTGGAAGCACTTCAGACTGGGTTTTTTGCCTTCTTTTGGATCAACAGCAAAAACATATGTGAGGAAAGCTGAACTTGATGAACGCAAGTCTCTTTTCAGCTATGTAACTATGTAAATATAGGGCTCTCAGTGCCTGGACTGCCACCACAACCACATACACATCTGTAGGGCTCCCAGTGCTAGGATTGCCACCACAACCACTTACACATATATAGGGCTCCCAGTGCCTGGACTGCCACCACAACCACTTACACATCTATATGGCTCCCAGTGACAGGAACTAGCTTATTGATGAAGATTCCAGTCATCATTCATGTAATTTTCCCTCCCTCTCTCTTGTTTTGCCACTTTTCAGAAATTCAAAGCACTTCGGAACATCGGCAATTCGGATTGATTAGGCACTATCGCACTTCGAAACTTTACCACTTTATACATTCGCAAGCATCTGAATGTCAGAATGGCACGGAATTCGCCCGAATGTACATTCGGAACAAAACAAATTGCACACGTCTATTCATTTTATAAGGTTATCTAATAATATTAAATCATTTGTAAACCGTATTCAACAACATTAAATCAAGGCATCAGTTTGTCTGGCACAGATCCATAGCTATGAGGACAATTAATTTTTGTTTGTAACTTTGCATTCACAGTCACACAGCTGCTTGCTGTAGTTTTCCTTCACACTATCAAATAGTAATGGCTTTGAGCACTATTTTTTTGTGAAGTTCCATCCATTCAAATGATTTCCCAGGACATTTCCTGGGTTTAGTTTGTCTGAAGGTAACAGCCAATTCAGTTTCAGTCACAGGTTCATCTATGATGTGTGCCATGGAGTCTGTGACTTTGGTATGCAAGTTCTGTTGTAAATATTCCTTGACCTTTGTGAGAGGAGAGTCATGCATTTTCTGTGGTGACTGGTCTGTGAGGGAGTAAAATAGAAGTAATAAGCATGTAGTGTGGCAGCAATTTTGTTCTGGCATGTAAGGATATGGTTGCTATCAGTGCGTATTTTTGGGATGTATATAGTCATCCTTTTTTAGTTGATCATACACGCTAATAAAAATCTACATTTGTTGGAGTTAGAATAGCAAAAAGTCCTCATGAGGTTGGTGTGGTAAGAGTTTAGATAATTCTCTAAGGCAAGCATGTCAAACTTGCGGTCCGCAAGCCACATGCTTCCCACAGTGACTATCTTTGTGGCCCGCCTGCCCGGGTGCAGCTTTGTGCTGTGGTTGTGACCAGCTGCAGGACAGTGTTCTCTTGTAATCTCCTGGAGGTGAAAAGTACATCAGGCTGTATTGGCCTTTGCTATGCTGAACTTGTGGCAATGAAATTTCTTTTCACTTGTGCGCCTCCCACACAAAGAATGGAATGAATTCCTCATTAACATTTTCAGTAAAGTTCTGCTTCAGGAGTGATCAAGTATCGTGGCTGTTCAGGTCATCTTATAACATGGACACATTAGGCAGTGTATAAGAATGAAGGGAGAGAGGGTGGGCAGTGTATTGTATTTGGGGGCAGTGTATTGGATTTATGGACGGTGTATTGGATTTGGGAGCAATGTATTGGATTTGGGAGCAGTGTATTAGATAAAGGGCAGTGTACTAAAATGAGGGGATGGGACAGTGTATTAGGTTGGGTCCGCATAAATGCCCCCGTGGGGATGGTGACAGGCTGTGCAGCTTTTTGCCACATGTACAGTAGCCTCCCAATGCTTTCCTATGGGAGTCAAGTTTGATGATCTCAGCCAAAATGAACAACACTCATAGGACTTCAAAATCAACAAGATAACATAATTTATTTTTTACAGCTGTGTAACAGCACATTCACAATATCGGTCCCATTACCAAACTTTTCTTAATATGTCAAGGTAGTTTGACTGAAATATTGTGTGACGAATTGCCCTTCGCCACTGGGTTTTGGAGAGGACTACTTATTAGCCTTTTACCATTTGACCATGGCCCATGTGACTTATTCTGTTCTAAGGCACTATTTCTGCCTATTGGGATTGTGGACAATGGCTCTTTAAACTGTCTAAATAGTCTAAATGGCACTTCGGATACAGCCATTTTGTTTAGTCGAACGTGTTCAGCGGTGTTTGGTCGTCAAGTTCATGGAATTTAAATCGGACACGCAATGGCACGAATACCGCTGAACTTTACCTTCTCTGGAACTTCTACTCTTTGACGGGAGTCGAACGACGTTCGACAATACGAACGACACTTTAAACTTGCCTATTTGCAAAAACGGCTCCCGTTCATACATTTGAACAGAACTTAGTATTGAAAATAGACCGGCCGCACAGCAAAATTCTCTGGAACTGTTTTGGGCATGAAATCATGTGATCGGTCAAAAGAGACTTCCATGGAACTTTTGTACCCTGCTCTGATCTGGGTGATTTTTGGATATGTTGTTCGCCCAGATCAGAGTTATGCAGGGATGTATAATTTATGGGGATATGTTTGAGTTTTGGGGTGTTTCTAAACTTTGGGTAAAAATTTATATTTTCTGCCTGTGGATAATTAAGTTATTCCATTATCTATCTTAATCTTAATTATATCAAAGGCATTGGGGAGGGCTTGCTGACTGTATGTAGGAGTGTTACAGTATTAATCATTGGACTATTGGTCTATGTTCTTTTTGTCCCTGTGTTCCATCAGGTGCAGGGGGTATGCCTCTGGCCTGAAATGTGTATAAAGGAAATGCCTTTGTGCTCAATAAACCAGACCTTCTTACCCTCAACTCGCAG